TCAGCATCATCATCAGCATCAGCATCATCACCATCTGCAGCTTCATGATCCTCATGACCAGCAGCAGCATCATCATAATCATCACCAATACCACCACCACCATCATTACAAACAGTACCATCATCATCACCATCACCATCCTCCTTCTCCTCGGCATCATCATAAACATCATCAGCAGCATCATCATCAGCCGTAAGCATCATCAACAGCACCGTGGTCATCATAACCACCATCATAAACATCATCAGCATCATCAGCATGATCATCAGCATCATCAGCATCATCAACATCATCATCGTCATCGTCCCCAACACCACCAACAGCAACGCCAACAAACCCCAACAGCACCGTCGTCCACCACAACCAGGAACGCCACCAACAACAACCTCATCACCACCACCCCCATTGTCATCATCACCAACATCATCATGACCCGCCAGGCTCGGTTCCAGACTACTGCCTGCGGCGAACGAATGGGCATCATACAAAGCGAATAGGCCCCAGCTTGCTGGGAGGATTCTGGGTGAATCAAAACACCTGCTGAGCGCAGGACGGAGACACGGGTGAAATCAATACCGCGAAGAACTCGCGTGACTCGCCAGGCTCGTTTCCGTACGAATGCCTGCGGTGAAAAAATGAACATCATACACATCGAATGTGTCGCCTACCAGAAAACAAACGCAAGCAACAATGGCACGCATATGGAATCCGATCGAAACAACACCGAATTCAGGCCCCCCCACCCGATGCCCAAATTTATGCAGCGAGTGCACACATTATAGCAGAAAACCGAGAAGCAAGAAGAGAAGAAACAACACGACAAATGTCGAGCACACGCAGAAGGCTGAGGGAAGCAGCGATAGCTAGGGATAACACGAGGCACAACTTGTCAAGATGAACCTGCTTTTGACGTGTCAGAAATCATCTGCCACCTGTTGCGCCGTCCAATTGACAGTGGGTTTCTCGAGTAACCAACAACAGGTACTTCTTTCACGATATGTAGCATTGACCGAGGCGGCACACTTGAAATTGAACGGTTCCAGCATGGTCCGCGCTCTCCGACGCGTGCTGGAAGCACAGTAGTTATTTCGAACAATGGCAAGTCATATCAGGCGGGTCGTGTGAAAGCCACTCATAAGATGGCGCTGGGTTCTCTTCGCCGCAAGCAAGGCTGCGCTGAATACAACATCCGATCAACACGCCACTCCTATGAGCATGCAGATTGCCTTCAGCAGCCGTCAGCTTGTCACGCTCGTCAACACTCGGAGGGCCCATGGGGCACTCGTGGCTCCGAAGCCGATGGGAGACAAGCGACCACAGAGGAGCGCGACGGGCCATCGTAAAAACCTGAGACGGTGCGACTGACCACATACCTTGAACCTCGCCAAACGTGTCACACCCCAGATACTTGAGAAAGAGATCGTCACTCCGCAGATCGCACTTAGTGGCCCGTGACAAAGACTAACGCCGATGCCAGTTAAGCTGCGATCGGCCAAAGCCGTGCCCAGAGCCCCCCGCCCCGAGAACAGCTCTAAAAGAACACGTCGCCCGTACGGCTGCGGTTGCGCAAAAGCCCGGCGCAACGCGCGTCGAAGGCGCGACGCCTCGCTCCGCGAGCTGCGGGACCTTGGCCTGCGCTACGTTCGGGAGCTTGCCCATCTACTCGAGACCCGCGAGTGTTTGTCGTGGTGCACCACGCTCCAGAAGCTGCCCCAGCGGCTGCGCTTCCGCACCTCGTTGAGCGAACGAGCTCGCACCAGACGATCGCAACTGGCGTCTCCGCACCGCAGGGCGCACAGGGTTGGCTCGACGCAAGAAACCCCCAATCGTCGTCCCGTAGCATCCGCGAAGGACCGGTGCAATTGCTCAGAGCTGACGTCGAACAGAAGCTCGTAACCCGTTCGACCCCCGCACAGTGCTTGCAAGGCCAGGATGTGCGGGCGATGGCGCCCCACGCCGAGCAGCGCGCTGACGTCGAACTCTTGCGTCTCGGACGGGCGCCAAAACCTCCCCTGGGGCCAACCATGCCAGTCAAGTGTTTCTCTCAGATTGGTTACGTACGGCCCCTGCAACCGAAATGTCCCCAGGAGCAAATACGGCCCCGCAAGCCAAAGCCGATGGACAAATACCATGCTCTACAGCCACCAAAGAACGCTGCACACGGAACGAAGCTCGCTGCTGGCCCCCGAAACCGCCTAGGTGCACAAGAGGCGCTAGAGGAATGGCCATGAAAGGACCGAAGCAACAGCGATCCCTCCCCGAACCTAGGAGCAAAGAAAGGCGGCGCCACCACCACCACCAGCGCGGGAAGCTGGGCAGGAGTCTTCTGGTGGTATGGTTAACCCCCCCCTCCAGCTCGGGGAGGCATCGTGCATCTCCTCGCTGGAGATTGAGGTGTCCCAAACGGCGTCCGAGTAGACCGGATCGGAGAATCGTTCAGCATCGCCGATGCATCGGCGACGCATCGGCGACGTCGGCGTGGAGACAATCGAGCTCCACATCGAACAGCCTCGCCGATGCATCAGCCACGCGGCGCTGTCTACCGACCCCATCTGCTTTGACCCCGTTTGGGCGGCCTGCAGGTGATGCCGCCCGTGGTGGTGTCGCTTCTCGTTCCACCGAGATCCCAAACTAGAGGAAGACACAACTGCATAAACATAGACGTTCGGAGCTCCGCGGGGATTTCTTGGATCTGCGATGCTATCCCCTCCCTGGCGGGTGGAGCGCGACAGGATGCATCAGCGATGCAGCGGCGATGCATCGGCGATCTGCGGCGCGGCGCCCAAGGGCGCGTGCTCACTGGGGTCCTGGCCCAGAGATATTCGGCGGTTCAGAGATGGGACCTTTCAGGAGGAGGGGACCCAGAAGATGTACACCCTGCGAAATGCTTAAGAAATCATGGGTTAAGAAATTCATAGTCTCAGAACTTAAATAAAAACCCAACATTTCTATTAAAATCTTAGGATTTACATTGAAACATTAAGAATAATCGAGACTCTGGCCGAAAACGTAAGTTTTCTTAAGCATCGCCTAAGGTGTAGATTGAACGTGGGATCCCTTCCTGTTCTCAGGGTCCCACCCCTCAAGGCCTCATTCTTGAACCGACGAGCTATCAGGGTGGGGTCTGCGACCCGCAAGCGCTCAAGCAGGAGACTCTCGAGAAGCGGCAACGTGCAGGCAATTAGGCGTCCACAGAGACCACGACGGCAGGGCCCCCGCGGAAACAGTCCTCGTTGACATCCCTGCCTCAGTCCTTCCCTCGTCCTCCCTCATCCTCCACCTCCTCCTGAGCAGTTTCTTGGGGTGGAGGGCTCTGGGTGAAATCCATATGGGCGTTTGCACCTCGAAGATCAATCCGTCTTGTGGTCCACCTTCTGCACAATCAGACCTCGAAAATCAATCGAAACTGCATTTCAGATGTCACCCTTTGCCCTCCACCCAAACAAAAATGCTCGGTCCTCCACCCTCCTGCACCTTCACCCACCACCTTCTCTCTCCTCGTCCCAGCTGGCTGCGGCACCCCTCAAAGATGTGCTGTTTACCCGAAGCTGCGGTAGGTGAGGATCGTCTGCGCGCCTCGTCTCCATCGTCGTCGTCGTCGTCGCTGCCGCCGTCGTCGTCGTCGTCGGCGGCGGCGGCATCGTCGTGGTCGTGGTGCGTGTTGCCCTGCTCGGGACACATTTCCACTGCGCGCAGACCAACAACCACCCCTCGTCCCAGCCAGGGTGTTGCTGTTGCCGCTGGCGTGAATCGTAACAACAGGGGGAGGCCGCCTGGTAAGCCACGAAGATGCGGCACGGGCCGCCCGACAGCAGGCGCCGAGAGCGACTTCGCTGACGCAAGGCCCCGCGACCACTCCGTCAATGAAAGATACCACATAGGAGGCAGGGATTCTCCCATCACCACCACCTGCCGACGTCCCCGAAGATTGATTGCCCAAGCGGCGTTTAAATAACATTCCCGCCTCGGAACAAGGGGGCAGCGCAGGCATCCTTCGGAGCGATGTTTTCGAAGCATGGACCCCCAGACCTCTGGACCGCTTTCGGGGGACAGCATTTTCCCACGCCGAGCCGCTTGCAGTGTACGGCCCTTGGGCCCGAAAATGTTCTCCTGCTGCCCAGAATGGCGAGAACCTGGACTGTTTCGAGCCGCCCGATGTCCGGGAAAAAGGCAGATCGAGGAGGAGGATAGAGGCGGATCGTGGATGATCAAGGGGGAGGAGCAGGACGGCGACGGACATGACGATGAGGCCACCTGCCGCTGGCATCTGAGGCAGACGATGACGACAAGGATGCGGCACCTGATTCCCGCAATACGCTTCCGACGGTTGGCCCGAGAGCGGCGGAAAGGCCCACCTCGTAGACGCCGGGATTCACGGCCACCACGCTGTCGTAGTGGAGCGACTCCATTCTGGCAGGGCAGGGGACGCACACCGCAGCCTGGGTCCTCCTCCTCCCCCTCCTCGTCTTCCTCCCGCGAGTCCTGCTCTTCCTCCTCCTTCTCCTCCTCTTCCCCTGGCTCCTACTCCTCCACCTCCACCTCTGCTGGCCTTCGTCATCCTCCTCATCAGATCCTCCTCCAGCGCGTACATCTTGTCCGGTGTTTTGGCTGACTCCCGCCCCTGCTACGAGATGGTACGCCAGTGGCCAAGTGAGGCCCAGCAGTGATACGGTTGCACCATCGATAGTTATGTGTACGCTCCTCCTCCTCCTCCTCCTCCTCCTCAGCCGCCTCATCTTCCTTCTTGCCCTCCTCCCTCTCATCCATGCCTTTCCTTATAGACAGCCCCACCCCTGTCGAGCCCGCTGCTGGGAGATGCTACGCAAATTGCCAAGAGGGGCCCAGCAACGATACGCTTGAATCATCGACAATTGTGTGTGTACGCAGCACCTCCTCAACCGCCTCCTCCTCCTTTTCACCCTGCTTCTCTCCTCCTCCTCCTCCTCCTCCTCCTCCTCCTCCTCTTCCTCATCCTCCTCCATGGCATTTTCTTCTAGATGGCCCCTCCCTGTCGCGCCCCCAGTAGTCTTGGTATGGCGGGCCAGGCGTTTCGCCTGTGACCCCATCACCACTTATGGCACGGAAGCTTGAAATTCGCAACGGTACAAGGGTGGAGGGGGAGAGTCAAAATGGGGCCACGGCCTCAGTGCCGCGCACATTCGCCCCAAACGTTTGCCGCGATTGCCAGGAAGTGCGAAGTGTTGTTTTGATTTTGTGTGCGAAGTTATCGCTCGACACTATGTTCAATCCAGACGCCAGAAAGTGTAAGGAACTAGTAACTTCACGGATGGGATGCGATTCCTATAAAAAATGCTCTCGCTCGAGACGTCCTCGCTTCTCATCACCAGACATGTAAAGATACTGTTGCAACAATTACACGGATAGGAGCCGCGAGTGATATCTGTAGACATATGGTTTAGCACCCCTGACTGCCCGTTACAAGGATGCAAGGCAGCTCATATGTCAAATGGGGTTATTGCCAGAACGACGGCCCCCTAGGGTGTTTCTTGCAATGGAAAAGAAGACCAGAACGTATAGGGACCTTGGGATAGAAGGTGCGTTGCAGCTCAGGTGATGCATGTTGGGTTTGCTGTTGTGCTTCGCGTTCTCCTCCTCATTCTTTTCTCCGCCCTCCTCCTCCTCCTCATCATCATCATCCCCTTCCTTTCTTTTCGATCTTCATATTTTCCTCCGTATATCACCCCCGTCGTCCTTCCCTCCGCGGACTCGTTTGGTCCTCTCAGGCGGAAAACCCAAACCCTGCGCCCTGGCAGAACGCGCCGTATGATGCGCGGAAACAAAGAATGTCATGTTTGGGGTATCGTCGAGAGCTCCAAACCCAGACGTTCCCGAGCCACGATACACTGGAGGCAGAAAAGGAGGAGGAGGAGGAACCGGAGGAGAAAGGGGAGGACAGCGTTCCCGACCGCGACGCGCTCATTTCGAGACAGGAGAGAAGGAAAAGAGGCTGGGAAGAGGGGCGGACACTCAGGGTCCTACGTGACAAAGGGATGATACAGAAGCGCAGGCGGCACTTGGAACGGAGACTTTACTGACGCACAGCATGACCTCAAATGCCAGCGATCTCCAGGCACCTCGACCCACGGGGAGCCGCAGGGCCAAGGTGCAACAGGGAGTAGATGAGAGGACGGCAGGCTGCCCTCTTCGGCTGGACCGCCAGATCCAGATCTTCGCTTCTCTATGTTGCTGGTGAATTCCGGATTCCAAGGTCGCCTTGATCTGCTGCAGTCTCCGGATACCGTGGCAACCACCGAAAATTGGTAAGACAAGTCTTTCTCGGATGACTCATTGCATGGCTACGCCTTTGTATCGCGCCTCGACCGCCTAGACGTCAGACAATGTGGAGGTATTGCTCGCCCGAAAATATTTCAAGAATTGCGTCGTCCATGCAGGCAAGTCACCTGTTGTCGCGCGGTCTTGGCACATCGTCCACACGAGTAATGCTTGCTCTGTGGCACCAGCACCCTGAGTGGGGAAAAGTCGGCACTATCCGCACTCTATTGACGGAGTGGCGTGGTACCAGCATCAGATCGCAGGCACCATCGCCATTGACGATATGAGCGTTCAGCAGAGTCAATGGCTGCGTTATTCTTCATGGGGGGTACAGGGCAAAACTTGGCAACCTGCTCTGGGCAACAACTTACTTGATCTTGCCTTGACGGATGTGTCCTCCAGGCTCACGAGTCTACGGCCATGCGCGCGCAGCGTGCCGCTCCAGCTTCCCGAGAACAATGGTTGTTGCAACGTGCTCGGTGGCCCAAATTCCGCGCTAAATTGCAGAATGCGGATTGGACATCGTGTCTCGCGTCTTGATCGCAGCCACCCGCTGCAACCAAACTCACAGGTTTAATTGTGGGCACGGAGAACACATTCATATCTCTCGTACAATCTCTCGTAAATACACCCACCCGGGGAAAAACGAAGCGTGCGTGGAGCTGATTCGGCGAAACGTCAAAGCATACAGTACCCAAACTACGAACGTCGATGGGACGAATGCTCTGCTGGCCTCCGCCGTCGCTGCGACAAGCATGTTGGGCGCACCCGGCACCGCATGCTACAGCGCTTGGCACAAAATGTTCAGCGTGCCGTGCCGTACTCCGCACTTGCCACTCGTGCGCGTGCGGTCTGAGGGTTCGTCGTAGAAAAACAAAAAGGCGATGCAGAAGCGCAGGCGGCACGTGGAACGGAGACACCACTGACGCGCATCATGTCCTCGAATACCGGCGCTGTCCAGGAACCTCGACCCTCGACCCGAGGGGAGGTACAGGGCCGATGTGCAACAGGGCGTAGAAAAGAGTGCGGCAGGCGGCCCTCGTGGGCACAAACAGTCAGCTTTGCAAATGCGGTCGCCAGACTCACGCATGATCTCCAGGATGGCATCAGGGAGCTCAGCATACATGAGGGCAACAAAACTACGTTCTCGACCAGAAGGGCAACGCTCGCGACCTTGATGCGAAGGCTCACCCAGAAGCTTGCTCGCCAGCAGTGGAGACGTGTTCGCTGTCGTCGCAAAGATGCCCAGCCCAGCGCTCGCGACGCTGAGCAGGGCGAGGCACATTAGGACTACCAGCAAGGTCCTCAAAACAAAGAGGAACTGAAAATCGAGAACATGCGCACGCTCGTCGAGAACATGCTAGCGCCCATCGGGAAAAAGCGCACGACCACAAGCGCCCACAAACACCATGAAAGTATATAATAATGGTGGGGAGATGCTTACGACCACGAAACTGAAGCACACGGTGTTACTGCTGACGAACATCGGAAAACTGCCCACGATCATCTGGATCTCACGGCCATCAAGACTATGTTCGGCCAGGCTCTCACGACGCTCTACATGGCGAGGCCCATCAGGACCAGCACGGAGGTGATCACGACCATCTACAGCCTACTCATCATGAAAGTGATCGTAACCTTCGGGGTAATCTTCACCTCCAACGATGAATTGCTCCCCGTCACCAGGAGGACGCCCATCAGTAAGACGCTCGCGAGGTGACTGGCTCAATAACAGCACGACCATCGTTTCGTGACCGATGGCGTTGCCAACGCCGAAATCCAATTCAGGGGGACCTCCTTTCAATTTCAAGGAATCAGACATGGCAAAACCAACCTTGCCCTCCGCTACGCGAAGCCGCGGTCGTTTGGGAGCCAGCGCAATGCGGCCGTCCCGATCAGCACAAACATGGGGTAAGCTTGAGTTGGAAGGGCCCACGCCGCTGCGAGCGCCAAGACAACAGCCATGCGCCCGATAGTCACCTCCATCATCGTCGCCATCATCGCAGCAAACAAATCTATCAAGAGGGCTACGTTCAATGCCAACGGGGGCTGACCAAAACCTAATCGAAGTATTCGACACGCCACTCGAACTAATGTGCCCATGACTCACCACTTGGTTGCGCGGCAGCGCATGCAGCAGGTGTGCCGTAAGCGACAGAGCTGCATGCATTCAGCCTCGGAGAGAAAGATCCGAAAGTTTCTGTTGATGCCGTTTTTACTTCTTCAAAACTGGGAGGCCTGGAGATCCTCCTCCCCCCCCCTCGGCGCCAGAGTCCCCGCTGTCGCGCCCGCCTGGCGCCGCCCGGCTTGCTGGCCCCGCTGGGGTCGCGGATGGCGGGGGTGGTGCCGGCACCGCTCGGGCCTTCGCGGCGGGCGGGGATGCGTGGCGGGGACCCCGAGCGGCGGACGCATCCAGATCCACGCTCTGGCCGCCTTGGGCTCCAGGGCGCGACCCGATGGATACGCGGTCACATGAAGACGTTCCGGGCGGGGCGTCCGCAGAAGAACGCCCCGCACCCGTGGGGTCGCGGCCCGGGGGCCTCGCTTGCTGCGCGGCCGTGGATATGGAAACGCTTCCCGCCCACTAGGGGATCCCTCGTTGACGCACTTCTCCCAAGTCAGCAATCTACTTTTTATGATTCGCGATAACGGGCGTGATCGGGGGACGGGGGGGAGAATTCGCCCCCCCGATCACATCATCACAGAAGGGGGGCGTCGGAAATCTTAAGAAGTCTTCGAAGATGCCGTCGGAAATCTCTGCAAATGTGGGCGAAAAAACGTGACGTGATCTGGGGGTAGGGGGAATCGGGATCCACCCAAGGGGGGGTGACCCTGAGGGGGGGCATGAACCCGATCCGCTGGTGCACCGAACTGCCGCAAACAGATGCTCCCTGCATGCCCACCTATGGGCAACTATCGGGAGCTGCCCGCGGCTGGGGGGCATCTGTTTTGGGCGAATCGGTACACGGCCGTCATCGCCCAGACCTAAAAAAAAAAAAAGGCTCTCACCCTGGGTCAGCGACACGGGCGGCCACTCCCGAACCCAGCTCCGCGGAGGGAGGGGAGGGGTCGGCTCTCACTTTCACCATCGCAACGGAGCCCAGCGGCAAGACGAGGGAACGACAGACGAAGACGACATTGACGGCGGCGACGACGAGGGAGAGGAGGGAAAGGAAGGGCGAGGGGGCAAGCGCCCGCGGCCGCACGGCCCCGCGAGGGGTCAGCTCCCACGCATGGCTCCAACTCATGGGTCCGCCAAAGGGGCTCGGAGAAGGGATTGGCTGGCCCGCGTTAGCGCTGACCACTGCTGCGTGCGCCCCGAAGGACCAGGAGCGCGGATGCGGATCAGTTTCAAAGGGGGACCGCGGCACTGAGACCGCAGATCTGCGGTTTGCGAAGCATACTGCGGCCTCACGGATCCGGGCACCGAAGACCGAGGATCTAGCTGTTCTGCGCCTTCCTGCCACCCTCGTCGAGGGGCGATCTTGGCTTCCTGGTTTGACAGGGAGGGCCTCGGACCGCCAAGGACCTTCTGGCGATCTCAGGTTTACCTCCGGAAACATCGGGGGACCTCTGGGGACCTCTGGGGACCAGGCTTTCAGCCACCACAACGGCCTGGGTGTAGCGGATCGCCGAATTCACGAGGTCTACAGTTTCAAATCAGGGTGATTCGCAAGTGGCAGGCGTCTCCTCCAGAGGCTCTTCGGGAGACGGAGTCGGACGGCCGAGGCAGGAACAGATCCACCCAAGATGACGACATGATGTCATCAAAGGGAAGAAATACTATGCTGCCAACGGATCTCAACTGGCTCACAGCTGGAGTGGCAGAAGTACTGTGCAGATCTGCAAGCGCGACCGATGTGGGAAGGAGAACGACAGAGACATCGGCGATTGCGACAAGACAAACATCTTAGAGTCTCAGGTACTGCGGGCAGCCCACCCAAGCATCGCCACTCCATCCCTCAGATCCCCAAACTAAGACGACGCCAGGACGAAGAGAAAATCGGGTGAGGATATGGAGAATCTCTGAGGTCCGTCGGCTCTGGAAAATGTCTCGGGCGCCGCGGCCTTCTCAGAGCGGTCCGGAAAGCTCTAAGAGCGTTCCGGAACGCTCTGGAACGGATCGATCCTGGTCCCAGCCCCGTTCGAAAAGCCCCAGCGCCCCAAACTGCTTCCTGGTCCCCGCCCGCTCGCCGCAGGCACCCCGCGCCAGGGGGGGTCCTCGGACCTAATCAGGCGGGGCGAAGAGAAGCCCCGTGCCCGCGCTCTTGCGTGAGTTCGTTTCCCGTTGCTGACGGCACCAGAAATCACAAGACAGCTCGCCGTTTGGGCCTCGCCGCCAGCCCAAACGGCGAGCAAAAATCGGGCGTAGCCACGCACGCATTCGAATGTCCACTCTTTGTCCCCACACTACTCGTATTCCTCCCCGTCCTCCTCCCGATCCTGATCGTCGTCGTCGTCCTCCTCCTCGTCCTCCTCATCCTCCTCGTCTTCCTCCTGCTCCAGCTCAGTCTCCTATCGGTTGCGCCGTAGGTTGTGCCCTCGGCGGCTGAGAAAATGAAGCCGTCTCCTATCGGTTGCGACATAGGTTGCGCCCTCGGCGGCTGAGAATGACACCGACTCGGACCGGTTGCGCCATAGGTTGCGCCCTCGGCGGCCGAGAATTTTTGTTCCTCAGCAGCCTGCGTGCGCGCAGCGCGCACGTCCAGTTCCTGCGTCGCGGGCCGCACGGCGGCCCTGTTGGCCGCCTCTGGAGTCGCCGCAAAAGGCGGCAACTCGACAGGGCAGAGCGGCGGCAAACGCAGCTGCGTCGCGGGCGGCAGCTCAGTGGAAGCGGAGCCCGCCGCGAAGCCGTCACGCTAGTGGCCTCCCAGTCGGAGCCACTCCCCTCATGATCTTTTCGGCCTTCCTCCTGCGCTCCGCCTGGGCGCTGGGCTTGAGCGCTGGGGCACAGGCCAGGCCGAGCCCCCTGTGCTCGCCCTTCACCTCCTTTGCGTACTGAAAGCACTTCAGGCAGACGCGGTACCCGAAGAACGCGCGCAGGTCGTGGCCACTCCCGTCCGCGTCGAGCGCGCCAGAGCCGCTGATCGGCGGTGCAGCAGGCTGGGCCTTGGCTCCCCCGTCGCCTGTCGTCGGCGGCTCCGCGTCAGCACGCAGGTCACCGCCACCGACGGATCCCAGAATCTGGCTCTCGCCACGATGCTGAAAGGAGGAAGAGCCCGCCGACGGCTGCTCCTCGTCAGCACGCAGGTCACCGTCACCGACGGATCCCAGAATCTGGCTCTCGCCACGATGCTGACCGCCCTTTCCAGCACGCAGGTCACCGTCGCCGACGGATCCCAGAATCTGGCTTTCGCCACGATGCTGTACGAAGGGGGGGGGGGGTCGCCTCACTGCTGCATGCCTCACCGCTGGCAAGTGCGGGCTGGCTCTCATCCTCCACGAAGCGGCGGGCTGCTGCGACAGCCACCGCGGCGGCACCAGCGTGCACCAGGGCCGATGTGCGCGGCCGCTTCTTGCCACTGCTGGTGTAGGCGTCGGGAGCGAATGCCTTTGGCGCGCAGCTCTGCCTTGGGAGGTTCTTGGTCGAGATGTCAGCGAAGGCCGACCGCAGGCAGCGCAGGCAGCGGAGCGCCTGAACGCCCTCTGCTCCTCCCTTGATCTTGACCAGCTCGTGTTTGGCGATGTAGAGCCTGGGGCCCTTGGACTCGGGCCCCCTGTAGTTGTCGCGAAAGTCGATCCTGAGGTCAGCAGCTTCGGCGCCTGCCTGCGATACCCAGAAGATCGCGCCGTCCAAGGTTAGCGCCCTTGTTCTCCTGGCCTCGCGCGTCTGCAGCGGCGCCCCGAAGTGCTCCGTGACAAACTTCGCCGCTCGGTCAGCTTCGCGGTTGCCTCGCCGACCGCGGAGAATGATCTTGCTCTCGTCCACGTCCTTGAACGTCGCGTGACCCTTGACCTTCCGCACCGTGAGGCCGTCGCTGCAGAGGTCGCCGAAGTCGCCCAGCGCGTGCCAAATTCTGCGGCGGATCTCTCCCCAGGCGGACGTATGCGAGGTAGTGGCCTCACGCCCTCTCTCCATCAAGCCTTTGACCACGTACTCGGCGTCGAAGTTGGCCGTGATGGGAGGGAGCGAATGCCTGAGGATCGCGTAGAGCGCGAGCAACTCCGCGCCGTCGATTGAGTGGATTGGTCCAGGCATTTGGGCGCCCATGGCCTTGACACGCGCTCCCTTTCCTGGGTCTTCTCCTTCTGGCCCAGGCGGCAACTCGACCACTCACATCCTGCCATAGCCAGCGAAGTGCCTGCCTCGAAACAGCAGCCGTCGGCGAACAGCTCGGTGTTGATGAAAGGGGTCGCCATCCCCTTTGAGCCACCTCAGCCCCTGCAGAAGGTCGCCCTGCGGGGGGCGCCAACCGCGGCTGGGCTCGGGCAGCAGGAGCCGCTCGAACAGCGTCTTGATCGTGATGCTGGACTCGAACTCCTTGAACTTCCCCAGCTCCTCGGGCAGCCCGAAGCTGGGCCAGCTCTCGCAGCACTCCAGGTGTCGGTGCCGCAGGGTGCCCAGGGAGTGCGGGCGCAGCTCACAGTGCGGCGTAGGAGCAAGCCTCGGCGCTGCCTCAAACCTTCGCTGGTTGAGCCACTGTCCGTGAACCAGCAGAGACCTCACGCAACCCCTCTGCTTGTCGTCCAGGGCTTCCACCTGCGGCCCTCGGAGGTGGAGGCTTTGCCTGTGCTGAGCCATCTGCGCACCTGAGGGACGAAGGCGCCGCATGTGATGCCCTCGTGCGTGTCCGCCGTTAGCTGCCGTAACTGCCAGACCTGCACGCCCTTGCGCAACACCTGCTTGATGTACCAGGGGGAAGAGCCCGTGATGTCGATGGTATCGCAGGTGCTGTGCCTGCGCCACTGGTTGAAGCTGCGGACGTCGTATCCGACACGCCTGAGCGACAATGCTGCCGCAGAGATATGCCCTCGGACTTCGCTCCGAAAGTTGACAAGAGCACTCCTGCGGGAACCCAGCATTCCCAGAGCGCGCGTGCAAGGGTGCAGACAGGCGCCAAGGTAGCGCCGCACATCGGGTCGATCTCGCTCGGCCCGCCGAAGACGAGGCAACCAGTTGTGGACTTGCCCAGCGGCCTTGCCTCGATTGCCTTGACGACCAGCGCCCTCGTGTGTCTCAGCTCGCTGTCCGACATCCCAGTGCACGAGACGCCATACATTATGCTGGGCATGGGGCCTGTGACGGCGACCTTAGCCGCGGCTGCTCGGCCTCGCCGTAGCCCCAGCAGCCGTTTGATGCGAGGAAGCCTCGCCTTGGCGTTGGCCATGCGCAGCTTACGCACAGCGCTGGCACGCCGCCCTCCTTCAGCGTGGCCCACTCCAAGGTTGCGCACGCCCGCCACTGCCGCAGCACCGCATGCCTTGATGAGCTTGGCCTGGGGCCCCTTCCTCGGCTTGCCGCTGCTGGCGAGGATCCTGGTCTTTTTCGTGGCGACCTTGAGCTTCACCTTGCTGAGCTCCTTGACCAGGAGCTCGGCACTGGCGATCAGGTCTTTCTCAACTTTGCTGGCGCCGCCCCAGCGCTGCATCGCCAGGTCGTCCACGACCACTGCGGGAACCACTGCGTGGTGCTTGGTCACCATCGCATCCAACGGCGCGAGGAGCATCACCTTCATGAAGGTGGCGGCGAATGCACCGCCTGCCATCACCGTCTGCATCACCATCAGCTCGTCCGAGCAGCAGCCTTCCAGGCAGACCACGCGGGGCATCCTGCGCAGGTTAATCTGCAGCTTGGCCAACCAGAGCGGGAAGTTGTGGGCCTGGCAGGCCTTCAGGAGCTGGCTGTGCAGTATCTGCTCGAAGGCCTTCCAGAGGTCGAGGAGGGCCGACGCCGAGGCCCAGTCATGTTGTTCGTAGAGCGCGCCCATCATGTGGACCCACTCGGCCCTGGCCTGCTGCTGCCACACTGCGCGGTCACAGCTCTTGCCCGCGCTGGCCCACCAGTATGGCCTGTCGTGCTCTCGTTCCCACTGCTTCGCGACAGGCCTTCGCAACCTCCCGTGGACGCGCACGATGGCCCCCAGCAGCGCGATGGGGCGAAGCCCTCCGTCCGCCTTGGGGATGAAGGCCATATTGGTGGCGAAGTCGGGCCACTCGCACCTCTGCTCTATCACGTCAAACAGGTCGATCAAGGCCTCGAAGCCTTCGTCGTCCATTAGCTGCAACTCCCTGGGCCTGAGCGAGTCGAAGGACGCGCCCGTGGCCTCCTTGAAGCTAGCGAAAACCTTCCTGGCCTCCTCGGCTGTGGGTCTGGGCGGCCTCTCGCCGAGCTCGCCGGGCCAGTGGACGCGGGCCTCCTGCGAGCTGACGCAGGAGGAGGTGGGGCCCCCCAGGCCCCAATACCCAGACCATTCCTTCACGAAGGCAGTGACCGTCTCCTGGAGGGTGGGGGGGGGAGCCGTCGGGGGGCGCCCCCGTAGGGCGAGGAGCCCAGCCTCGTGGAGGTCTGGTGAGGGCGTGGAGGGCCCCCGTGCCTCTAGTGCGGTGGTCGATCGCCCAGTCGTTGTAGCTCGCCTGCCCCGCGTCGGCCTCCTCCTGGACCAACCTATCGGCAGCCTCGCTGGCGCAGGCAGCGATGCCCTGCAGCGTGCCAATGTCCAGGGACGGCGCGGCCACTGCCAACGTAGCGAAAACGGTGATCGTGTTCAGCTTGTGCTGGTCAGTGGTCTGAACCAAGTCGTCGCCCGTCATCTTGCTGAGAACCCGCGGCGCCCGAAGCCGACGGAGGGGAAAGTCGACACGCGCGCAGTCCTTGATCGCTATCGCCACCTTCTTGTGCCAGGAGGCGGCCATGGAACACTTGGGAATGCGTGGCGGGCTGGGTACAGCAACCTTGGCCATATTGAGTCGGGGCCTGGCTCCTCGGCCTGCGTAGTCGTCGTGCTCGTGTGCCATGCCCGCGGCGTCGATGATGTTCCACTCGGCCTGGTGGACGAACAGCTGCCAGCGCGAGGAGGGCGAGCTCGTGGCCTGCATGAACTGTCGCCTGGCCCCCCAGTGAGCTGAGCGGCCCCTGCTGCAGCACGCGGCGGGCAGCGGGCAGGGCAGGCGCTCGGGGACCTCCATGATCTGCATCTTCCTGGCGAAGGTGCTGCCGTCAACCCTCAGCTGGACGGGGAAGTGCGGCGACAGGTCCCAGCCGTGCAGCACCTTAGCCTCTGCTACGCCGAAGGTCGCGCTGATGGCCCAGTAGTCGATGATGCGCCCCCCAGGTCGGCAGGTGCCTTCGACGGGGGCGACCACCTTGAGCTTGAGTGCGTTGAGAAACCCTGACGCCGCCAGCTCCTGCGGCTCCAGGTTGAAGTCGCCACCAATGATGATGGGCTTGGCAATCTGCTTCGCCGCGCGGTAGACGGCCTGCAGCACCTGGTAGTTGAAGTCGGACATGCCCTCGCTGTCCTTGAGGTAGACGTTGAACCAGGCGACCCCGCCAGGCACGATGCCAGCGAAGTGGGCGACACACGCCCTGCCAGGGAAGAGCACAAACCCGCTCTTCATCTCATCAAAAGCGCCGAGGCCGCGCGCGCGCGGCGGCAGCTGCAGCAGCCCACCGCGGCCGTGAAGGCCTGGGCCCGTGCCCACTGCGGGGCACGCGAGGGCATGCCAGCCCTGCTTGTTGAGCTTGTCAGTCACCTCTGCGCGCCGACAGTCAGAGGGGTGGGTCTCCTGCACCGCAAACAAGTCTGCGTTGCGTACCTGGTTCTCTTCGGGCAGCGCCTCGAACCTGCTGTAGGCGTTGGCATTGATGGTGAGCGCTGTCCACCACCGCCTCTGGTTAGAGCTACCCGCCTGCCGTCTTGGAACGCTTGGCAGTGCGGATGGTCTCCATTGCCTCGGCAAGCCGCTTGCGCTCCCCCTCGACCTGACAAGACCCCAACAGACCGCCAGGATCATCGCCAGCCATGAACGCCTCGAAAGCCTCGTCGGGCGAAGTCCCTTGCGCAGAGCCGCCCTCAGCAGCGGCCGCTTCACCTCCAGCTGCTGCTCCTTCAGGGGGGAACTGGCGCTTGAGCTGCATGAGCCTCGTGCTGCTGCGGCTCGGTCGACCTGCAGGCGCTGTCGAGCTCGTCGACCGCGGCCTGGAGGGACTTGAGGAAGTCGGCCAGCGAGACGCCCTCCGTGGGGATCTCTCCGAGCTTGGCCTTGAGCTGCTGCGCCGTGAACGTTCCAGCTGCTGGTGCGGCACCATACAGCTTCGCCGCATCCCGCTTCGCAGACTCGAGCTCCTTCTCCAGCTTAACCACCTCGGCCTCTGAGGTTGAAACCGCCTCCAGCAGCTTGAGAGCCTTGTCCTTGTTGCTAGAGAAGCGGTCCTTCGCGTTCTGGAGGGCCCTGGCTGCTTTGTCGACGGCCTGAGGAGCCTCTCGACCAGCAGCGCCAAGCGACCCAGCAGCAGCGGCCCGCCTGGCGTACTCGACCTTCTGCCTGGACGAGTGGGACAGGGTTCCCTTCGTTTTCTCGTTGATGTCTGCTGGAAGCTCGGACCACTCTTTGACGTCGCTGGGCGACAGGGTCGCTCCTGCGGCAGGCTGTTGCTGTCGCTGTGCCTGCGGTGCGCCTCCCTGCTTGGTCCAAGGCTTCCATCCTCCTTGCTGCCCCTTGCGCTGCATCCAGAAATCAGCTCCTTTCGGCACGCCATTCCATGGACGAGGCGGTGGCTTGGAATCTCCACAATTGTTGCAAGTCCGCCGGCCTTTGGTATTGAACTCACCGCAGCTGCACTTCCAATACTCCGCCATGGCAACAGCTCCCAAGCGAGTACGATCAGCAGACACAGTAGGGTGAACTTGCTGAGCGCAGTGGCGCCAGCAGAAAGATTGAGGGCGAGCCGCGGACTAGCGGTATCCGTGTCCTCCTCGGGGGGAGGCATGGGCTTGAGCCAAAATGGCTACGGAACGGCGGCCGAGAATAAAACCGTTTCCTATCGGTTGCGCCATAGGTTGCGCCCTCGACAGCCGGGAATAAAACCGCTTCCTACCGGTTGCGCCATAGGTTGCGCCCGTGGCGGCCGAGAATACAACCGTCGCGTAACGGGTACGACCAGTCTGTTCAGTTCAGTTCAGTTCAGTCAGTTGATCTCGCGATAAGCAAATTCGGGCTACGCCCGAAATCATGCAAGCAAAAAGAGCCACTACCGAACACCATAACACTCCGTTCCCAGCACTCCGTTCTGGGCACTCTCTGGGGGCGCGCCCGGAACGGAGTGCAACCAATCCCCGGAGGGGGAGCGGCAAGCCCCCCAAGCTTGTGGTGGTGGTTCTCTCTTCTCTGGGGGCGAAACTGGTGGGCAAAATTGACCCTGGGCGCCGAACTTCGCGCTCGGCACTCTACGAAGCGCGAGGGCGCGAATAGCTTCGCGCCCTCGCGCCGCCCTCCAAAGGCAGACGAGGAGGACGAGGCGGACCCCGAACCGCGGGGCGAGGATCACTCCGCGACCTCGAGGCCACGCACTTCGCTCCCAGAACCAGCGCGAGCCGTTGAACAAGTCACGCCGGGCAGGACCAGCGGCCCAGGTCGGGCCAGCAAGTGCAGAGGCCCTGGTCGTGATCCCCATCCACAGCTGCCCTTCCTGTTCGGGCAGGGAGGCGTTGCATATCCATCTGTCGTGGTCTGTCGCGCAATGGGGCCACACATCATGGTTGCGTGTCAGTGGGCCGCGTGTTCCGGATCTCACTCTGTTCTGCGTTTCCGACGACCGTGACTCGAACCCAAGCTGTCTACAGCCAGCTCCTGGCACTGCTGTGGTCAGGGCTAGAATACAGCTCCGCCACCGCGCTTGCAGCGGTTGGTGTGTGCTTGTATGTCGGGCCCTTGGTGTTTGCATGTCCCCTTTGAGGACAACTCGGGAGGCCAGAATCACCCAAAGTTCAGATTGGACGCTCCATGGAACCTACTCCCACGGTCGCCCGCTCCCTCTGCCCCCCCGCTTTCCCCAAGCTGCAACCCGAGTGCGGTGGCCGATTCGGACAGCATCGCAACTTGATCTACATCGCAAAATTCATCCCGACAGCTTCGCACGATTCAGCAGCTCCTCTGTTCTGCCGCACGACCCTCCGTACCCGTTGTCCGCACCTCCCCTCGAGAGAAGTGCCGTGTGCAGGATGAAAAGCCGGGTGCAAGTCGCGCGAGGGAGTCGCCCACCCCACACAGGTTGGCCTCTGTACGCGTCGAGGACCGCAATCTGCGCGTTGATCAAATTCGCGAAGACGTGCGACTCGAACGCCACCGCCTACGCAGCGGCTCGAGCCCCGACCGTGCTCCTCCTCGTTCTCATTCCCGTCTCATCGTCCTCAGTCACCTGCTCCTCCTCGACACTCCCCTTCCCCTCCCAATCCCAGTCATCCTCCCCATGTCGTTCCTTGTGTTTCTCCTCTTCGTACTCCTCGTGTCCCTCCTAATCCTCCTCCCTCCACTCCTCAGCCGTCATCCCCGTGCGCAATCACTGCTTCCATGCGCCTGCAGTCTGGCTGGCACCAAGCAAACATAGACATATTGTCAAACGTTCCAGACTGGAAGTTCTGTGGCGACCTGGGCGGGGTCAGCATGAACGCACGGCCGCATGCACGGTCTTCCTTTAAGCATCTCCCCTACGCAGACGGCCTCTGCACTTAAGCTCAATGTGTGCCATACCCTTCACCGGCAACATACAATGGCCTGCGACATGATGTCACGGCGGAAGACAACCAGGACCAGCACCTGGCAAGGCAAAAGAGATTGGCAACGATCAGCGATGCAATGGCCAAACTGCCAGCAGCAACGCGGGCAGACCGATCCTTGGAAGTCGCATTGGTGACAGCCTCGGAGAACCGCCCTCAAAACCAAGTGTTGAAAGCGTTGTGTGTAGATGCTGCATGTTTTGTCTATCGCTGCTTTCACGTGGGGAGAACGGGGTAAGCCGCGCATCAACTGCCGCCACTCCAAATCTCTGACACCTAAGGCACGGCCGATCGCAACCACAAAAGATCGATGGCCAGCCGTTTCAAGTCACAACAGATGGGGCGCGCCTCGATAAATTACATGCTTGTGAAGGCGATGGCGAGACCGACTCAAGAAAGAACAGAAGGTGATAAACATGCCGCATTCCACTTCTAGACGCTTGCGATCTGAATACCCAACAACGGCCCGCCGCATGTACAATTTCCGTTGGTAATCAAAGATGCGGACAACCTCGCGTGAAGTTGTCACCCCTCCCTAAACCCTTGCCCCGGGAGTCCAGTCCTGTCCTCCAAAGACTGTCCGAGAGGGCTCCGAAACGGCACAAGACGGGCCCAAGACGGCCGGAAGTCTGCCGTCAGCACAGCCCAAGAAGCCACCAAAAAGCCCCAATAGAACATCTAGAGAAAAATCTGTATGATTGGAACTTCTGGAAGTCCAAGACGGCTCGAGAGGCCGCCACCCAAGACGGCCCCAAAACGACCGAGGAGGGCCCTAAGATGGCCCAAGAGGCCCCCAAGACTGTCCAAAAGACTCCGTCCTGGGGGAACTCAAAGCCACTTGGTGAAGGTTCTCGTCGCTCGTCTGCATGGCTGGACGCAGTTCGAAAAAACGTGATGGGATGGATCGCGGGGGGGTGGTCGCGGATTGGGGCCTGGGGTCGCGCAAGAAGAGCGGCCGTCTGAGGAGGCAGGGAGAGCCCTCTCAAAGGGCCTGGAGGCCCTTGACAAGGCCTCTTGAAAGACGGGCGGGAGGGCGTCCGAGAACCGGTGGTTCAAAGATGGGGTCCTGAAGGATGGGGTCCTAAGGAAGAGGTGCCTCAATAGTGTAAATCCACCCATGGATCCCTTCCCATCCTCAGGATGCCATCCCTCAGGACCCCATGTTGGAATTACCGATGAAAAGCCCTCTGATCTCTGGGAAGGCCACCCCTCCCTCGCTGCGCCCCCCTGTTGCGCGGCGCGCCGCTGGCCTTCCCGTACCCTGCTGACGGGGCGCTGCCAGGAGCGCGCCTGGCCCAAGGTGCCCCCGGGAGTTCCAAGCAGGCCCCCACGGCCTGCAGAGGCCTCCTCACGCGGCCCAGGAGGGCCCCGGGGGCCACGGGCACCTCTAGAACCCCCCGATCCCCCCCCCCCTTGCTTCACCACCTGCCTGCCAACGCGCCTGCGGGACATGGGCCGAGGGAGGCACCCCTGAGGGGCAACGACACGGGGGGGCCCTCTCTGGGGGGGTGGGAAACACCGACCTGTCACGGGGGGGGCTCTCGCCTGAGCCTGGCCCGAGAGAGGCAGGCACAGTCAGCATCGAATCGGGAAATCGGGTCGGATCGCAACGTGCGCCGGTTCGGGCTGCATCGGCACGGAGTCGGACTCGGACCAGCTCGGCTGCGCCCAGATACACAGCGGCGATGTGGAAGCAGATGTCCACATCAGACCGCCAGAAAATCGAGCTCGAATCGGATCGAGCACAGTGAACTCGGCAACGAATCGGATCTGACGAATCGTCTGGGGCCCGATAGGAGAAGGGTATGAGTGGGCGGGCTCACCGCGTCGCCCTCGGGCAGGTCGGAGACGGCGAAGTGGCCAGCGCGGACGCCATCGACCTGGCCCCGGCGCAAACGCGGGGTTCGCGCAGGACGAGCCTGTGGATCGCGCTCCACGCGGGATTTCGCGCCGCTTCAGCACAGTATAACAAGGGATATGTCGACCCCTATCCCAGGTGTCGTGGAGTTTTCGAACGGACCATGAATTTGGGGCCCAACCCTGGGAGATATGATGGGGGGCGTTCTTCCTCGACAAGGGGTGCGTCCGAATAGCCCCCTCGGGGCGTATCCCAGAAGCTCCTTATTCTGAGCGGCCAAACTTTTCGTGCGGAAGTCGCGGACTGGGGGAGAACAGTCGCCTGCGACAGCAGGGCCAGAGGCGGACGAAGAGGAGGAGAATCAGTAAACCTGTGATTACGCCACGGGTGGAGCGCCCGGCGGCCTGCGCAAGAAGAAGTCAGCATGTGATGCATCAGCCATGCTGCAGTACACCCTGCCGTGAGCCCCCCCCATCAGGTCCCTAAGAGCATGATGCTTCCCGGCGAGGAGCGCCTTGAAAGAGATCAGCACACCGCGGGCCAGCCCTTCTTGCGGAGGCCCCGTCTTGACATCGGGACGCCCTGCACATGTCGAGCTATGAGAAACCCGGAGGATTACGATCACAAAAATCAAGGAAGTGTCCAACGTTCTGTTGCTCCCAACGTACTGAAGGACCACCCCCCCGAAAAAAAAAGTCGGGAACCAACAAAAATACCAAATCAATGTCGAACGAATATCGCCTCCCGGGGCCCGAAAGGTGAAAGCCCTCCAGTTTCGATACGTTATTGGTTTCTTGGTGCTAAAAGTTTTTTTTTCTGGTGGCCAAGGCAAAAGCAGGTTGGAAAATGATGATGAAATGGGCCGTCCTGGATCGGCGCTAGCACTTGACAAACAAGCAAATTTGGACATGACAATCCGACCAACCATCTGGCCGAAGGTGGTCTAGCGCGCTGCCTTTCCGGAAGGGATTATCGTCCGATTGGCGACCAAACCTGGACGAATGCCACACTCATACACGACCGCCCGTGCAAAAACCGAAAATGCACGTTGCACCAAAATCTGGTTCATGTGGGGACGCCCCGCGAACACTTTGCTTTGACAAGGACGGACGGGTGCTGGTATATTGTCTGCTGTGTGCAATGCCAACACCTCACCACCATCCCTTGCAACAGAGTCGATACCAAATGCCACGTACATTCACACCGACATTTTGCGCGGAAGCTTTGCATAGGTTTTTGACAGGGACGGCGGGGGTGCCAGCATATTGCCTGCCATGTGCAATACCAACACCCCCCAACCATCCTTTGGCAACAAAATACTATACGTAACGCACGTTGCACAAACACCTGGATCATGCGCGGATGCCCCGCGGTCGCCTTGCATCAGTTTTTGGCAGGGTCGGCGGGGGGGCCGGTAGATTGCCCGCTGCGTGCAAACCCACCATTCTTTTCAACTAACATACAGAGTTCATTATGCCAGGGACGGCGGCGGCTGGGTGGTATACTGCCTGCCGTGTGCAGGCCCACCATCACTGCTCCAAGTGGCCACGCAGCCTCGTCATAATGCCCACGAGAGGCCAGCGACATCCTCCCAGCGCCGACAAAACACAAAGGGCTGCGCCTTATCGTCACGTCGCGTCGAGCGGGGCCCGGGAGCCTCAAGGCGGCCCTGAGGGGGCCCAGGGGGAGCCCATGAGGGCCAGGAACGCTCTCAGACGGCCAAGGAAGCCTTCGAGATCCCACCAAAGGCCCTCAAAAGGCCAAAAGAGACCCTCAATATGCCTCCAGGAACTAACTTTTATATATATATATACACACATATACATATAAAAAATTATGCGTGAAAATGGTTTCCGTGAACGGATGGGGCTAAGGCGCGTCTAAGGTCTAGTGTTCAAGCGAGCCCGTCGTACTTTATATAATCAAACGGACACATACAATAAAAGGCTCTACGAACCGCCCTTCTCGCACATTGACCTCCCAGGGCGCCAACCGCAAAAACGCTTCACGGCGCCAATGGCAAGAACGGGGATGCTCCTGCCAGAGCCCGTTGGACGAGCCGACGCAGGCGACGAACTTATCCCCCGCCTGGAGACATGCAAAAAAAAGGAACGCCGACAAAAATCCACGGGCTACCCAGACACAATCCGGGTGAGCCCGCTCACTAGAATGCTCCACTCATCGATCTCGCCCGTGGGACCTCGTGACACACTCACGGGAGCCATCTCCGCATTTCTGCGTAAGTGCGCCATACTGTGAGCTCGGGACGGCCTTCTTCAGATTCTCGTCGCTAGACTTGACCTTGGCGTGGAAGCTGACCTGACCGCCCATCACGCTGAGGATTAGCTCTCGGCCCATGCTACCCTCGGTCATGTGGTCGGCCCGCATGCCCCCAGCGACGCACCAGAGCAAGTCGTCGATCTGCTTGGTGCGCAGCTGGTCGGCTAACCACCACAGGTGGCCAGCCATGCCGTTCTCGGACGGCGGCACTGCCAGCAGGGCGCTGACGACGGACATGTCATCTATGACGGGTGATGCGGAGATTGTGTAACCTCCTGTCTCCCTCTGCCCCCTGATCATACATGCATGCATACATGCATGCACGCATACGTACATACATACGTACGTGCGTGCGTACATGCATAAACAAATATACGTACACACAGGGCCTATTTACATATACACACATCTGCACACGTACAGCTACATACATACAGACAGGCAGGCAGGCAGACAGACATTTATATATACATGCACATATCTACATGCGTGCATGCATACATACATACATATACACATACATACATGCATACACACATACATACACACACATACATACATACATACATACATACATGCATACATACATACATACATATATACATACATACATACATATTTACATACATGTATACCTATGTACAAATACAACTACATACATGCATACATACATACATATGTACAGACCTACATGCATGCATGCCTGCATGCACGCACGCATGCAACCGTGGTTACCCACACCAACACGTGCATGCACACATACACCGTATACATGAACATACATACATGCATGAACACATACATACATCCATCCCTCCATCCATACATACATACGTACACACATACACGCATATATGTTCACACACATGTACGCATATATACATACATACATACATACATACATACATACATCCATCCATCCATCCATCCATATATACATACATACATACATACATACATGCATGCATGCATGCATGCATGCATGCATGCATACATACATACATACACACATACACACATACACACATACATACACACATACATACATACATCCATACACACATACACACATACATGCGTAATACATACATACATGCATGCATGCATGCATACATGCATGCATGCATGCATACATATATACATACACGCATGTATACACGTATGCATACAAACATGCATACGTACATGCATCCTTACTTTCTTGCATATATCCATGCAACCTACATACATATATATATATATATGTATCCAAGTACCTGCATACATACATGCATACATGCATACATACATACCTGAATACCTACCTACCGACATGCATACATACATGCGCATGTGACTGTGTATAACTACTATATCACTACATGCACATACAACTATATCGAGAATGACACATCCTGGGACGATCCGGCCTGCCTGAATGAGAACGCGATACTTGTGACCCGTCAAGCGGGGTTCGTGGACCCTCCCTAATCCCATTGCTATCCCATCGTCAACCTTGGTCGGTCAGTAGAAAAGGGTGCTAGTCAAGACACCCATGCAACTTGAAGGCGAGATAAACGGCGGGGGCAGCAACCAGAGCGAGGCACACAGATGGCGAGGCTATACAAGCGACTCGTCAGACGCGCCGCCCGCCCGAGAGGACTCGTCACTGTGCGAGTCAGCGTGCGAGGGCTCCACCTCCTCCTCATCCTCCTCTCCCTCCTTTGGTCTCGGGAGGCCTCCAGAAGCCAGAGGGCCAAAAGCATCATAAACCATCGATCCCCCTCACACTTCAAGTGACTCCTCCTCATCCTCCACAGCAAGGTGGCGGCGGCGCCTCGAACCGGAGCTTGTCTCCCACCTTCCAGCGTGGACTCACAGAAAAAAGGAAGAGACAAAGGAAGAGGACGAGGAGGAGGAGCAGAAGGATCCCCCCCTCGCACTTTAACTCCCAATTTGCATCCAACCCCTCCTAAGACATCCTTCTTCTTCTGGACTCCTCTACCTTTTTCCATACCCCGCCCCATTGGTAGGGCGGGTCGGGAGTTTCGCCTAAAACTTCCTCACAAATGAGCATCCTGAAGCTTGAATGTTGCAACGGTTTCACGGATGGAGGGCGGGCAGTTTTCAAAATGTCTACTAGCACGCAGAGTCGTCTACCAGCACGCTTCTATCCTGCAACAGACACACCTACCGCTCGTTAGCCGCCTCTTACCTGCTCAGGCCGTCCTATACACGTGTGTAAAAATATAACAGAGGCGCCCTTCTTGAATGTTGCGTCCTCCCAAAAGCATCCCCGTAGCATACTGCTTGCGAGGCTTGGCTGCGAGGGCAGACGCAGAGACAGGATCTCTCGATGGCCAGACGCGAGCCGTGCGTTTCTTGGTCTCGGTGATGAAGGCCTATGGGGCCCCAGGAGATGGGGCCGGAGGATCGTGCCGCATCGCTGATGTTTCGGCGATGTTTCGGCGATGCTTCGGCCATGCATCAGCGACGTCGGCGTGGAGGAAATCGGGCTCAACGGCGACCATCCGGCCCTTAGGAGGCAGCTCTCGCAGGTCTTCGTAATAATGATGTAGGGCTACAAGGCCCGATTAAGAAGAAATTCTGCTATATTCGCCTAGATAAAGCCGGATGACGCTGGACTCGGCGAAATTACATGGGATTGTGCCAGATTGGCCCAGTTTTCGACCACGGCTATATATATATATATATATATATATACACACCAGCGCCCATGGTGAAGTAGATATCCCAGGAGCTGCATCCCAACATCTGGGAGGCCTTGGCGTGAGCCCCCAGGCCTTCATGGGAGACGCGAACTCGTGGCACTCCTTGTACTCCATGGGCGCACTGGTGAGCCTGGCGCCGCCAGCGGCGGGCGGACGGCGCGATGGAGGCCAGAGGACATCTTGAAGAGGGGCACCTCAGGAGAGAGCGATGGGCGAACGCGCTGGGCGTCCCAAAACGGTGCAGCCACAGACCGCGCGGCCACCTCGAGATCCCAAAAAAGACCTCACCCCACGGTCCCTCACCGCGCGGTTTTTGGGACCCTGGAGGCCCTCGCTGCCAAAAGCATCCTCGGAGAACGACCCGATTCCCAAACCATGCGGACGCCCCGAATCCCCACCGACTCACCGCACGGTGAGGTCACCGCACCGCTTGGGGGACCCCGACGACCGTGGAGGACGCCAAGCAAAAGGGGCCAGCGTAAATGTCGGGTCGGACGATGGAGGCAGTGACAGTGAAAATCAGAGTGCCCGCACGAGTGCCCACGCGAGGGGACTAAGCGGGGTGGGGCCGGAGTGCCCAAAAAGAGAATTGAATATGCCGCAGCATATTCAGCAGTCGTCTTTGGATGGGCAGCTACTGGGGGCCAGTCCGCCGCCGCCGTCGCCACCTCCGCCGCCGCCGCCGCCGCCCGCCGCCGCCGCCGCCGCGCAGCCGCCGCCGCCGCCGCTGTCCGCCGCCGCCGCCGCCGCGCCGCCCGCCGCCGCCGCCGCCGCCGCCCCCCGCTGCCGAATCGCCGCCGCCGCAGCCTCTGCCGCCGCAGCCACTGCCGCCACCGGTGCCGCCGCTGCCGCCGCCGCCCCCGCCGCCGCCGCCGCCACCGCCGGCGCCACCGCCGGCGCCACCGCCGCAGCCGCTGCCCCCGCCGCAGCCGCCGCAGCCGCCGCCGCCGCCAAGTGTATTGTTTTTTGACAGAGATGGTGGGGGGAGGCCGCATCGGTGTGCTGCGCATGCTCCGAACTTGGGGGCAGAGTGTGTTTTGTAGGGCTTGTTACAAGGGATGGTGGGGGTGGGCCCTCATTGACTCGGGTTGGCTCCCAGTCGCCTGGGGGAGGGGGTGTATATTAATAGGGAACAGTGATTAAAGGAGGGCGAATCAGCTCACGTAGCTGATTCTCCTGTCCCCCCCTCTCGTCCGGCTCGAATGCGGGTCGAAGGGTCGCACCACATCGCCGAAGCATCGCAGGTGCACCAGCGATGTCGGGATGGAGAAACTCGGGCGCCAGAGCGCGCGGCACCCAAACATCTATCGGCCGTCTGGACGGCGCGATCCGCCGTCTGGACGGCCAGGAATTGATCAGAGAGGAGAGGCCTCCAAGACGCCCCCAAGAGGCCCCCCAGAGGCCCCCACGAGGCCCCCACGAGGCCCCAAAAGGCCTCCCACATGCCCCAAAGATACTCCAAGAAGTCCCAGAGTGGCAACCCAAGAGACCCTCATATTCACTCAGGAGGCTCCAGACCCGAGATGTAACTTCCACGATCGTCTCGAACACTCACTCCTTGTGAAGATCGGCGCAATGCGTAAGCCGCTTGAATAAATGAAGGAGGCGTAGTGGGCCCCGGAAACGGCAGGGCCGTTTTTTTCCACAATTTTATTAAAAAATCACGTGCCTTTTGGAAATTGAAGCGGAAAAAGGCCACTGGAAACGGCAAAGAACGGCTCCGGGATTGGAACTGGAACCGGCAACAAAAACGGCGACGGAACCAGCAACAAAAAAACAAAACGGAGCAGAGAAAAAAAACGGCCCTGCCGCTTCCAGGACCCACAGAGGAGGGAGGTAACAGCGGGATTGAGGGAGTCCTCGAAACGCCAGTGCCACTGCTCCGCGGCCCTCTTCGGCGGTGGACAAGCCTCCCTTTAGTAAACCCCCCCTTAGTGAAAATAGCCTGGGGCCCTGGACCCGCAAAAATGATGGCCGCGACGCCCTCTCGCGAACCGAAAACGGCCAATTCCTTCATCGACGTGTCAGGGCAGGAGGTCTATCCACCTCCGATCTCTCCTGGGGCCCGCTCCGGCCAGGACCTCGGGGCGACTCCGGCCGCGCTGCGACGAGAGATCGTCGGCGCGCCGGCGGGAGGGGGGGGGGAAGCGAGGAGTGGGCGGGCCGTCTGAAAAGGCCCGGCGGGTCCCCCCGGGGCCTCCTGAGAAGTTTCCTGAGCCTTCCCCGAAGACGTCGACTAGGGGATCGACGACAGAACTGGTTTGCCCCAGAGTTGATTTCCCCGTCGAATCTGCAACAAATGCGTAGAACGCTCCGTCGATCTGCAGAGCATTCTACGTATTTTCTGAGATCTGACGGGGAAATCAATTGTGGAGTGAATCAATAATTCTGTAGACGATCCCCATACTCGAAGACACAGAAACATTATCAAAGGCCGCAGGGCTTCTCAAAAGTCCCGCCGCCTTCGAAGAGGGCCTTCTCCTTCTCTTCCCTCCCCCTTCGCTCGCCGCCGAAGGGAGGGAGAGCGGCAGTAATCGGTACCTCTCCCGCCTTTGTCAGTCAGGGATGAGGAGGAGCGGCAGCGACAGCAGCAGGCAACATTAGCAGGCGTGAGGGCAGCAGCGGAGGCAGGGACTGGCGCGACAACAACGCGAGGCGCCTCGCGTCGCCGTGGAACACGTCGATGGCCCCCCGGTCCGGATAGGCGTTGCAGATGCGGAGCTTGTGCGTCGGCTGCGCAGCCGCGGACGACGACCTGCGGACCCAGGCATCTGGTGGCTCGTTTCGGTGGCGACGTCCGAGCCCTGCCCCTACCAACCATCGACTCTCCTGAATCGACGGGAGGCGGGGGTCGGGTGCGGATTTCGTCACGTGTTCGACGAAGCCCGAATCCCACCCCGCCGCCCATCGAGTTGCCTGAATTGTTGATCCGCCAGGGTAGGGCTTGGATTTCGCCGCCTGTTCGCCCTGCTACATTGCGGAGTTGCTGACGCCTGCCCCCTGGAAACAGAATCCAGACCGAGGCCTCGCCGTCAAGACCGCTGCCCCGATCTGTCCAGACCGTCACCCCGATGCGCCATGGCTGGCACTGTGTCCGCGCCCACCCCCTCCCCTCCTCCCCTCCGACTCTTCACCCCTCCCCTCCTCAGCCTCCCCAGCGACTGCCACAAGCTGCAGGGCCTCGTCCGACAGTCGTCGGCGGCGGGCGAGGGGGGGGGGCAGCGAGAGGGCGCAAGGCCTCTCGGAAGGCAGCGGGGCCTCTCAGAGACCCTCCGGCCCTCGGAGAAGTTCTCGGTGTCTTCGGGGAAGGCACGGGGCATTTCTCAGGCGGCCGAGCCTTCTGACCCGCCCCCTTCTCACTTCCCCCCCCCCCGGGCTGGCCGCCGACAAGGTGCCCCCACGCGCGAGAAGCCACCCCCGGAAGCTTCCCTGCCGGTCCGGGTCGGGCAGGGCCGCCGCCTCCCCCCTGCTGTGGAGACCGTCTCCTGTGGCTGGGCGCCCGAGCTCTCCGACGGTCCGTCTGCTCCTGGAAACCAGTGCGCAGTGAGGTATGAGAGGGAGGGAAAAAGGGGGAAAGGGGGGAGGAGGACCAGCAGGAAGAGTAACGACGACGAGTACATACGAAGGGGAGGGAGAACGGGGGGGGAGGGGAGAAGAGGACGGGTAGGAAGGAAGACGACGACGAGCAGGGCGAAAGAGAAGAGAAAGGTCAAGCCGAGTCAGGCCATGCAGTCCTCGAAAGCATTTCTCGGCGAGACGGCCACCGAGGGGCGACGCCCTTCAGCCCCGGCCCGAACGGAGCAAGAGGAGGATGGGCGCGCGCAGCCTGGCGGGCAGGAGGTGCCCTGCCCCCGCGCCCGTCGGGCGCCTGGAATCGGCCGCCGCGGCTGCCGCGGCTGGGCTGGGGAGGAGGCCGCCCGCCCCTGGGGCCGCCACTTGCCACCGTTCGGAAGTGCACTCCCCGCGCATCGTTCGGCTTCGTGCGTTTGTCTGCTCTCGCCGCAAGATGATCCCAGATGCTCCTCGATGGTCCTGGAGAGGGAATGCGCACGTCCGGGCGATGCCAAAGCCACGCCGGGGCCTCGAGCGGCTCATCCTTCACCCTGTGGGCGTCGTCGCCGTCATTAGCTGTTGCCGCCGCCGGCGCGGAGGCGCAGACACCGCCATGAGGGATGGGTGGGCTGACCCTCTTGACTGGCCGTCCCCGTGCCCGCGTCTGGGCCGAGGGCGAGCGCCGCGCGGTTCTGCCGAGGGCGCCTGACGGTCCCCGCGGCGGTCGCCAGGAGCTCGATGAAGGCCGTCTCCAGCTCGAGGAAGGCCGCCGTCTCCAGCTCGATGACGGCCGCCGCTACTGCCGCCCAGCTCAACGGGTCTCTCCTTCACCACCAAGATCGGATCCCCGTGGGAGACGGATGGGATGATCGGGTCCTTCCCCTTCCTCATGTTGTTACGGCGCGTCTTCGCAGTCTTGTCCGACGGCACGCCGTGGCAGGCCTCCTTCAGCAAGAGCGCCTGGCCGCCCGTACTACTCGGGCCGCAGCGGTCGCAGAATACGACGCCCCGGATGATCATGAGCCCGTGCGTCGCGCGGGCCTCTTCGACGGCCCGAAACTGACCGCGGCAGAACGAGACCAGCAGCTCATCAGGTCACCTGGACCTTGCCCCGCAGCGGTCACAGCCGCACGGGATTGCGGCGCGCTCGCCGAGCCACTGTGGCCTGTGGCGACGCGCTTCCGCAGCGTTGCCGTCGTCAACGTCGTCAGGCATGAGGAGTTGAGGCCCTCCACCTCGCTGGATCCTGGCCGCCACTCCCCGCCCGCACTCTGACGGTTCAGTCCTTGCGTCACTGCGCGGAGCCCCCATGCGCTTGGCCGCCACTCGAACCTCTACTTCACGGGCCTGCCAGCCGTTTTCGCGCGTGCTGCTGGCGCCCAGCCGCTCGAAGCACCTCTGGACGCGCCTGGGACTGGCCGCTCCCTCCGCGCTGGTCGCGCGCATGTGCTGGCCCTTGCTCGGCGGCACGTCCCGCTTGACCAGGGGGGCGAACGGCTCGCCGGCACCTCGTCCTTAGGACCCCATCCCTCAGGACCCCATCTTTGAACCACCGAATCGTTGCTATCTGCCTCGTCAAAGCCCATCGAACGCGCCGAGTCCGGCCGTCGGCGCTGAGCAGCGGGGGCGCTCGAGGCGCACGCCCCCAGCTGCGGTCCCTGGCTCCGTCGGGGCGCGGCCCGGCGTCGAAGGCGCTGACAACTCGGCGCACCGTCGACGCTGAACAACAAGGGCGCTCGAGGAGCACGCCGCCTGCTGCGGCCCTGACAAAGCGTGGCACGCCTTCATCCACAGCTCGGGCCTGACTCGCTGCTCGCTGTCTGTCCTTCGCCCCCTCACTTGCGCCCTCTCCCCTGGCCCTGGTCAGGCTTTCCGTCGCCAGGACGCTTCGCACCTGCAGCACCCGCCGCCGACCATGGCGATGCCCGCATCGACAGCGGTCGAAGCGCCAGCGCCCCTTCTGCCGCCGCCGAGCTCGGCAAGGGGGCTCGCGGGGAGCCGGTACTGTCCCCCTGGCCTCGTGTGTAATGACTGCCCTTGGTATTGGCATAACTTCCAACTCTGTTTGTCCGTTTCCGCCACTCGGCCTTGGCCATGAAGCCCACACTGGGGAATACCGGTGAATGTGAGTTCAAGGGACAGGGGGTGACCGGGGTGGCTCTGCCAGGGTCGGGAAAATGAGGGGGGGGGTCCGCTGGCGTGGGGTGGCGTGGGGGGGGGTCCGGTCGCCCGAACCGCCTGTGGACAGGGGGAATTGGGGGGGGGCCCGGTGGCGTGGGTTCCGACGGCGTGGAAGGTGCGGGGGTCCGCTCCCCCGTCCCGCCTGTGGACAAGGGGAGTTGGGGGAAGAGGGGGTGGGGGGTCCGGTGGCGTGGGTTCCGATGGCGTGGGAGGGGAAGGGAGGGTCCGTGGCGAGTGAGCTTGAAGGAGCCTCAGCTACAGCTTCGAGGCTGAGCTTCAGCCTCTGGGGATTGCCAGGGTGGCTCTGCCGGGGAAGGAGGGGGGGGTGCGCGTGCGCGTGGGGTTATGTTTGTCCGTGTACGCGAGAAAAGAATCGGGGAGAGAGGGAAAGAGAAGTGGAACGGGACAAGAACGGAAAACGGGGAACCAATTGGGGGGGAAGACGAAGGTGGCGGTCAAAAGCGTGTCTGTTGTGTGGTGTGTGTGTGTGCGTGTGTGCGTGCGTGTGTGTGTGTGTGTGTGTGTGTGTGTGTGTGTGTGTTTGTGTGTTGTTGAACATTATTAATTCTAAAGAATAATTATTGTTGGGACCCCTGGTGCACGGCCCCCCTGCGCCGCCTAGGCCGCAGCTACATTTTCATCATTTTCGTGAGGAAGCCTCAGGTAATTCGATATGATCAAGATCCGGTTGTTTTGTTCCCCCCCGCTTTCCCTTGCAAAAAACACTATAAAATGACATTTCTTGTTCTAATATAATCAAATTTCAAGAATCCCTTGCAAAAAATAAGGTAAAGTGGACATTCGCGCGCGCAAGACGAAATCCTTCCAAAAGCTTAGTGTTCGGAGCGATTTTAACATAAAAACATCAAAAAACCAATGGTTTTTCAACAAAAAAATGTCAAAATCTC